TTTCTATGGCTATTCTGCTAATACTGTATAACCACATACAAACTATGAGCGGATGGAACAGACATATAAAGAACTGTTCAAGATCAACCCCCGCAAATCCTGTCAAAATGTATGTAAAATAAATAAAGTGTCATATTTGCATTTTACCGCAAAACATATAAACAAACCTTGCTAAAAGCCAAGAATACACAAAATTCATGTGGAATATGAATCATTATCATGTGAATCACTATGCCGCTACATTGAAGAATGATCTACTTCATCAAAAATACAACTTACAATAATAACCTGCAATAAATATCTTTGCAAGTCTATGATATAAAATATAGTAATTGTTGGTTTTTTATTATTATCTGCGGATTCTTTTTCTGAGGCTGCTCTTATTCTTATCTGACAAAGAGGGCAAATATATACAAATATTGGAGTGAACAATGAAAGTAAACTAAAAGCAAAACATATTCTCTTAATTTAGTGTTAGAGTTTCTTATAGCATTCTTTTAACCTCTAAAAACAGCATTAAAACAATTCCAATCAATTTGCTTTTGCATTCATAATTATTTTCACACAAATTAGACCTAAAGACCTAAAAATTGAGGTCAATAGACACTTCTGTGGAATCATGCTGTGATGAAGCACGAAGTGTGAGGCATCCATTTTTTTGAGCATGCAGCTCCAATCTGTGAAAATTATTTCCAGATTGCATCTCTGCAAGTGCCAGTGGTTCATACCTGCCTGCTGCCCCCAACTGTCCAGCAGCCGCCACTACAAATAGGACCACTAACACAATGACATCATGGCAAACAGGACAATGAAGACAAAATGAACGTTTTATCTATGTGTTGGTTGGTACGATCATTTCTGAGAATATAAAGCTTTTTTTCTCAATCTTTTAGTCACATTACTATGGCTTAAAAGTTTGGGGTTGGCAAGATGTTTTAAATGTTTTTGAAAGATGCTCACCAAAGCTGCATTTATTTGATCAAAAATACAGTAAAACACTAATATTGTGAAATATTATTACAATTAAAAAGAAAAACTATTTACTAGTTTAATACATTTTGAATGTTAATATATTCCTGTGATGGCAAAGTGATATTTTCAGCAGCCATTACTCCAGTCTTCATTAACAATGTTGAAAACAATTGTGCTACTTAATATTTTTGTAAAAACCATGATAAAATAAAAATAGACTACTAACTTCTTTAAATCACTCAATCAATCAATCTTACTTGCCCCAAAATTTGGAATGATAGTATATTTGATCTGGCCTATGCTGTAGTTTAAAAATTACACAAATTTAAACAATTTGCCCTGGACAATCAGCTCTGTCATAAAGTCTCAAAGGCACTATAACTAAATCTTAAATTATGAAGAAGCCAAATATATAAAGTACACCTCTGCTAGATGACTCATTTACTTACAATTATGAAAGAATATAGATTCAGCTAGGTCACAAAAGGTTATAAAATTTCCAACCGAATATGATAATATGTTCTAGGAAAACAAAGATGTATTCAGAAGAGAGAGAAAAAAGTCACAAATGAAAAACAAAGCCCACTAAAAATGAAAGATCAGAAGGGTTTAAGGAATTTCAAGAAATGGCTGTAATATGTCTCCCAGGAGCAGTGTTTTTCTGAACACATGGGTTTTCTCACAGTAAAACCAGTCGTGACACAAAACAGAATAACACTTAAAAGAGTCCAAAAAGCCATGTCTTGTTGAAGTGGCTTTAAAATAACTATGATTTGACAGAGAAGCAGTTAAATGAGAGCCTACATTGACTTTAGCCTGCCAAACAATAAATCAACATAATCTCTATGGAAAAAATTCTCACCTCCAACTCTGAATGGGAATTTAAGAAGAAAACTGGCCAACAATTTGTGCATGAATTTTTTTATTTTCTTACGGTTTCGACCCTCTTCTTGCATTCAGTTATGAGGAGTCCTGTGCAACTGCACTGTGACATTAATCACATGGCCTCCATCTCCATCCAGAACACTTCAGATAAATTTTTCAGCTGCTCCAGTGCAGCCGTTTCATAGTGTTTCAATGGCGTAGAGACCCATCCGCCTCTGCCCTACTTCTGCTGCTCTGTGCGTGACACCACAACCATTTAGAGCGCCGTTTTTTCGCTAGAGACTCCTCCACCATTTTCAGCTGTCTCATTCCATTTTTCATTCACCCCTTAATTTGCGATGCAGCTCTTTTTCTGAGCCTGTGACTTTCTCCTCACACCCTGCATTATTCACAGTTTCTCAGAAGCTCCAACACCCAGAAGGCCCAGATCTGACTCTTCCATTTCCATATTTCTACTTAAGGACTTATGTTTTACCATTTCAAACACGTCATACTGAGAATACCAATTTGGACCCTGATGCTAACCTGCAGCGATGAGGCAGCTGGAAAAAGGTTTAAGATGACGATATGGGGTCTCTGAAGCCCACTGGCCCAGGGAAAGTCTGAATGGATGTAAAGGAGAGGTGGACGTGTGCATTTGAAAGGAGATCTGAGATTACGGAACACGCAATCTGGCTATTGTTCAACCCACCTGTTATGTTAAACAACTGTGTACAACTTTGGTGTTGGATTTGACCCTACTGGTTTCCATGCAATTTGCTAAAAATCAACACTATGAAAAACAATAAAGATTTGTGTGAAAGCAGAAAGAACTAAACCCTTTTGAAGGTAAAATGTTCGGTGCTGCAACAGTCTAGTAATTGAGATCCAAACTATCAAACAAAAATATCTATAAATCAGCTATGAAGAAACAGTGAATTTTGCTTCAATTCAATTTCTATTTTCTGACACCTTTTCAAAGAGCTGATTTTTGGCAAATTGCATGAAAACCAAAGGTGGGGTCAACATGACAGATGGTTTAAACATTTTTAAGCTTTTAGGATATGAAGACACGTCCAAACCACAATAGGAGATGACCTTTGACCCTAGCAAAGTTGATTGTGTGTCTGTGTGTGTGTGTGCACGTGTGTGTGTGTTTGAATTAAAGACAAAGCCAATTCAAATGGCTGACAAAAATGGTTAAGCATCAAAGGTATGTTCTGATCCAGGCAGGTAAAAAAATACTAAGGGCCCAATTTACTATTAGCTTCTGCCAGTGCAAAACCTCATTTGGCGTTTAAAAACTACTGTCAGGATTACTAAGGACACGCAGTGGGAAATTAGCACCGAAAAGGCATGGAGACAGACCCACCACCCCCCACACCGGAACGAGATCGTGATCGGACCGAGACCGATCAGTTATTTTTGCGACTTACCTTACTGAATATGCATTTGTAGGAGTTTCCCTTTCGATCGGTAAATTTATGGGAGTAGAGTATTTAAATGAATCACGCAATGTGATTTACTAAGATTTGTGCTCGTCAATTCAATGGTATTCGCGGCATTATTTAACATGCAAAAAAAGCATGTCTTAAAGGGTTAGTTCACCCAAAAATGAAAATTAGCTTGTTTTACTCACCCTCGAGGCATCCTAGGTGTATATGACTTTCTTCTTTCAGACGAATACAGTCGGAGTTATACAAAAAATTGTCCTGGCTATTCCAAGCTCTATCATTGCAGTCAGCGGGTGTTGCAGTTGAACAGTCCACAAGTCGTCAAATAAAGCGCGCACATCCATAATAAAATGTGCCTCACACGGCTCCGGGGGGTGAATAAAGGCCTTCTGTAGTGAATCCATGTGTTTTTGTAAGAAAAATATCCATATTTCAAACGTAATAAACACTTTTCTCTCACTTCCGGTATCTGTCATACTCGGAAGCCGTTCCGGCGGATGACGTAAGACGTCGGCAGTGCGTGATTAGTGACGAATGCGGAGAGAGAACAAAACAAAACGCCGGTCACGAATTAGAAGTACAAACCGAGGATTTGCAAAGAAAAATGTCGGAGGATTTCCATATAAACCAAGAGGAGACTGGTTTTCCTTTGCTAAAGTAAGGAAACTTTGCTTCCTTTGCTCCTATAAACAAACTCGCGAGACTAGCATATCTCAGAGGCGCACGCGATGTGCGTACGTGCTGTGTCATCCGCCAGAACTGCTTCAGTGTATGACAGAATGTCGGAGGATTTCGATATAAGCCAAGAGGAGACTGGTTTTCCTTTGCTAAAGTAAGGAAACTTTGCTTCCTTTGCTCCTATAAACAAACTCGCGAGACTAGCATATCTCAAGACGCACGCGCGCTGCGCATTGGTGCTGCGTCACCCGCCGGAACGGCTTCCGCGTATGACAGATACCAGAAGTGAGAGAAATATGTTTATTACGTTTGAAATATGGATATTTTTCTTACAAAAACGCATGCATTCACTACTGGAGGCCTTTATTCACCCCCCGGAGCTGTGTGAGGCACGTTTTATTATGGATGCGCGCGCTTTATTTGACGACTTGTGAACTGTTCAACTGCAACACCCGCTGACTGCAATGATAGAGCTTGGAATAGCCAGGACAATTTTTTATATAACTCCGACTGGATTCGTCTGAAAGAAGAAAGTCATATACACCTATGATGCTTCGAGGGTAAGTAAAACACAGTCTAATTTTCATTTTTGGGTGAACTAACCCTTTAAAGCAGGCGGTAATTTGCGCTGCTCTTGGTAGATTGCGCTGGTCATTGTGGAAATGAGATGTTGTGTCTGTGTTCCCCAATGTGCGAATTGTCAGTAAATCACCCACATAATTTTCCCCTCCCATCCACACTTTTATGGAATTGCGCTCTAACGCTAATTTGCCCTATTTAGTAAACCTGGCCCTTAAACTCAGAAACAGATTTATTATGAATTTGCATTAATGGGAATATTTCTTTATTAGAAATGTCAATTCAGCTCTATTATATTTTATTATATAAAATAATCAAATGTGACTTCATGGGGATACTTTTAACAGAAAAAATGGCAGACTGCAAAACCAAAAGTCATACAGTATTTCAATTTTAAGGCCAACATGTGTTTGTACAGTATATGTGTTTGTGGCTGTGTGGTAATATACTCACAAGATTCCACATCTCCTTGCAGCTGAAGTATCTGGGGTACTGGCATGGTTAAAACCACTATGTCAAACCGCTCTGGCGTTCCCCCTTTGCGACACACTTCCCAGCCAGTGTCTTTCCGGTGAATGTGAGTGACGTGTCGGTCGTAGAGCACCTCTGCTCCTGCTTGAGTGCGGAGGAGCACATTTGGCAATGTTGCACATAGCAAAACAAGTAAAAGGAGATGAAAAGGAAAAACAGGGAAAGAAAGAATTCGAAAGAAAGTCAGACAGAAAGAAAGGTCAGATTATGTATCATTGAGAAGTCAAGATTTGGTTTATAGCACATGCAAATAGTTCTACATGATCTCTCATCTGATACAAGAGCAATGGTGAAAAGAAACCCAATCCCAGAGTTACAATAGGCCTACATCTTATGTGAATTAACACATCGTTAATCACAAAAGGCATAAGGTGACAGAACAATGTTGACAGCAGTATATGATATCAATATCAGGGCAATGGTGATAAATAGAGTGCAAATACACATAATTCACTTTTCACGTAAATCCCTTACTGTTTTGCTGATCTTTAAATAACTGTGTTGTTTCTCAATGTTGCTACACACATTAAAGCAGTTCCATCTGACTGCTGCTTTTTGTTCTTTGCACAATATCAAAACATCCTGAACTGTTTTTAAAGACTCATAAATTCATAAATCAGCTTGCATGGTCTGGCCAAATTCTACTGCGCTCTCTCTAGGAAATCAGACATTTCTAAAAAGATTTCTAAAAAGGTAACATTTAGAAGGAACAACAGCTGGATGACTCAAAAATCAAAAACTTGCTGACCCAAAAATAATTTTCTGGCAGCACATTTCTGTCATTAAACAGCTGATGAAAAACAGCTGCTTTATGAACAGTGATAAAATCGGTTATTAAATCCGTCTTGCTTCTCTGATTGTGTAAATATATAAAAAGCATTTCTGTGTGAAATTGCCCTGATGGAAAACGCTGCAGCAAATGTTATTTTTGCTATTTTAATACATGTTTTAAATAAAATGTAGACATTTTATTATAACAAATTGCCTGGCATTTTTGATGGAAAACAGTTTACATGGCTTAAAAGACTATTATGCTCACCAAAGATGCATTTATTTGATTAAAAATACAGTAAATCCCGTAATATTGTGAAATATTGTTACAATTTAAATGAACTGTTTTCTATTTTAATATACTGTCATTTAATGCATCCTTGCTGAATAAGTATTAATTTCATAAAAAAAAAAAAAAAAATGACTTGAAGCAAAACCAGAAGAAAAAAATCAGCAGAGGTAGTTAAACACAAATGATCTACCTGACTCTTTGAGATAGTGTTTGACGATGGAGGAGACTCCATGGGGTGTCACATAGTTCACAATTTCTTCTTCCTTTAACATCATGCCTTCAACAGGAGCAACAAGAGGTTTTAAAATGTCTTGTGCTAAGAGTTCTTCATAAAAACTAAAAATACAAAAACCAAAAAGCATTAGTCACTACAAGACCCAAATATTTATTTTCACGTAATTAAAGTGAAAAAAAAAACTTTTAACTTTTAAACTCATAAAATGAGACTGACACTATAACAGATCAGATACAGTTCAGAGAAGAAGCCTACCTGCTGTGAATACGAGTAAAATACAATATACATATTGTAAATAAGTGGTTATATCAGATATGATATATTCAAAGCATCATAACATTATGTTTTTTTCTACTTTAAAACATTTTTGGAAGCTGCGAATGACAAAAATCAAAAAAGTTTTTTTTTGCATATTTGTAGTTGAGTTTTGGAACATTTTAATCATTGATATTTTTAATATGATTAAAAATACATTTAATATGATTAAGTATACAAGAACATATTGACTTGCCTTTGCAAAAAAACTGAAAGGCTAAAAGTCGGAGACATCTCATTAGCCCTTGTAAAACACTTATAAAGGCATGCAGTACATAGAGGTCGACAGTGCAGTTCAGCAACCCCTGCAACCCCCCTCCCCCACCATTCAACATGCGCTTAATGTCTGTGTAGAGGATGTTAACCGGGTCTTCAGGAAGCAGAAATCTAAGAAAGCTTCAGGCCCAGATGGTGTTTCACCTGTCTGTTTAAAAGTCTGCGCTGGCCAACTGGCCCCCATCTTCACACAGATCTTCAACAGATCATTGGAGCTGTGTGAAGTTCCCTGCTGCTTCAAATGCTCCACCATCATTATGCCATCATTCCATCATGCACAGTCAAACCTTTACAAATGATTCAGAATGCACTGGCACGACTGGTCTTTAACAAGCACAAAAGAGCCCACGTCACACCTCTCTTTATCTCCCTGCACTGGCTGCCGGTTACGGCTCGCATCAAGTTCAAGACACTGATGCTTGCATATAGAACAGCCTCAGGCTCAGCACCTGCCTACTTCCACTCACTCTTACGAATCTACATCCCCTCCAGAAGTCTGAGATCCTCTAGTGAGTGACACCTCGTGGTACCATCACAAAGAGGCACAAAATCACTTTCCAGAACATTTTCGTTTACCGTTCCTGGCTGGTGGAATGATCTTCCAACCCCTATCCGGAATGCTGATTCCCTGACATTTTTCAAGCTGAAAGCTGAAAACTCACGTCTTTCTTCACTATCTAACTTCATCCTAAAATAATATATATCACTTTCATCTTTCTCTGTCTATCTTGTACTTATTTGAACAATGCTTGAAACTTGGCACTTGCTGTCTATTTGCCTCTTTAAGATGAATTGCTTGATGTATTCCCCAAATTGTAAGTCGCTTTGGATAAAAGCATGTGCTAAATGGATACATGTAAATGCAAATGTAAATATCATAAGAATGTCCTGGTGGGGATGCACATATCATCACAGAAACTGATATATGAAGTTACAGTCTCTGTGAGCTCGTCCAGATCGGTGGCAGCAGCTTCAAAAACACTCCAATCAGTGAGGTCGAAACAGGCTTGTAAATCCCGCTCTGCTTCATTAGTCAATCTTTTAACAGTCCTTAAAACAGGCTTAGCTGTAACAGTGATCCAGTATATTACTGTCTCTGGTGGGACATGTAATCTGCTGCTTGTATTTTGGGAGATCACGGGAGAGAGTCGATTTATTAAAATCTCCAAGAATTATTAAAATAGAGTCTGGGTAACCTTTGCTCCATTTCAGTTATTTGTTCGGCCAGCTGTTGCATCGCGGCGCTCACGCACACGTCCGGAGGCACGTACACATGGACGAGAATGAAAGAGGAAAACTCCCACGGCGAGTAGAAAGGTGTACAGTTTATGAGGAATGCCTCTAAGTTAGGACAGCATACCTTTTTCAGTCATTTAATGAATTTTCAAAGCCCACATTCTAGTTGTCCGTTATCAGTGTTGGGCAAGTTACTCTGAAAATGTAATCAAATTACTGATTACTCCTTTTAAAAGTAATCACGTTACTGTTCTGATTACTTTATTTCAAAAGTAATTAGTAATTAGTTACATAACTAGTTGCGTTACTTTTTTCTTCATTAAATTTATGAAATCCCAGCATACACGCTCCCGATAAATATTTGTTATTAAAGCATCAACATTCACAGAACACTGTTATTTTTAACTAAAGCAAGCGGCTGCTGCGTGCGTGGTTTGGCATGGCAGAATGCCAGCAAATAGCACTGCTTTTATAATCTCTAAAGAGATGGCATCTCAGTTCATTACAATCTCACAAAGCTCCGTTATAACACAATGAATATATGCATGATGAATCTTTCATAATGTCTACAATTCGTGTGTTATAATGAGAGGATTCGTGAGCACGCAAATTTCAGCACTGCACTCCTGACTGGCCATTGCGTTCCAGAAATCAGCATTGCTCAACGCAGCAAACACGTGCTATAGCCTAAATAGAAACTCTGCCTACGCTTGCGCCTGTTAATCATTTTTATTTTATATTAGTTCTTGTTGCTTTTGTGCAATAGAT